GTAAACTTGTTTCAAAACTTTCTCTCACTCCTCTGGCGAATAATCAAATTGACATTGGTGGTTCCTTCCACTTAGTAGCGAGGTAAAACGATTCTCGAGGTAATCCTTGAATAGCCTATGAAAAGATAATGTTACGTAATATAGTCGTTTGAAGTTACAAGAACAGGTTACGAATGACTTTAAATAACCTTGTATAAAAAACACAATTTAACCAATCAAGTGTTGTAAGATTTAAACGTTGAAAAAATTGACCAAGACTTACCTTTCCCAGAACCTTTTCAGCTTTACCAGCGGCATAAAGTGGTGCAGTATCGAAATAGTTAATACCTTCTTGTAGAGCTTTCTTTACAGTCGCAGCTCGAATTTCATACTCTTTCCCAAAAGGTTCACCATTTTCATCAAAATCAACCAAACCAAAGCTTATACCAGTTCCTTTAAAATTGTAAGCAACAAATATTTTGTAAAAACTGGCAGTCAACAGTTGTGAAAGATTAATGTATTAAAATTAAAGATGAGATCGAAAATAAAACTTACCTAATCCAACTTTGAAAACTTCGAGTTTGGTGTTTCCTAGAAAATTGTAATGTTTCCTTAAAGAACTGATCTTGTTCGCATCATGAACATCAGAGTTGAAGGTTGACGGCAAATCCATAACGATCCAAATGCTTAATTGTTTCAAAAAATACTAAAAACCTTTGCTCTCAACTTAACAAATATAACAGACAAAGTACACGTAAGCTCTGTTGTTTCGATCCGATTTCAACATCGATTTTATCGATTTTTCTTTGTAAAAAATTAATCGATCTCGATCCAGCGAAGAACGATTTCTTTGAAAACCTTCAAGAAACTTTTTTTAGATTTATGCAGTTGATTGAAAGCAGTCAAGTCTGAGCGTGCGTCTGAATAAAAATTTTTTTATTCAAACCCAAGAATTTCTAATCTCACTTCATAAGGCATATATTAGTCCATGAGAATTTACATGAGAATGAAATTAATGCAAATAATTCTTAGAATAAAATTGACAATGCTCTTTGGACTAATCTGAATTGGATATTCAAATTTTTATGGGTACAATCCAATACTCATCCAGTTATTTGTATTCGGCATTTACTAATTTTAGTATTTAATAAATTTTTCGTCCATTCACTTGGATCGAGCGAGAAAAGCAATGATCAACTCAATAAGTAGTTCAACTATGGACAGAATCAACATGAGGATAGGTAAATAAAATATTTGATAGAATCCCATGTAATTTAATGATTACTAACTGATTTGTTATTTTTGTTGCTGAATGGGCTCATGTTGATAAAATTTAATCATTTGAGGTTGATATAACTTTTTACCTGATCTTGGTTAATTAGGACTCCTGATGAGGCTTTAATCATATTGAATAATTTGTCTATGTGTTGAGAGAGTTTTAATTTCATTTGATTAGACATTAACTTTTCAATTGCATCAAGATTCAAAGTTCCAACGTGTATTCTTGAATTATTATTACCACGTATTATTAATAAAATAATATAATGATATAACATAATATTAATAACACGTCATTAATACGATTACACCAGAAACAGTGTTAGCAGGTTTAAAAAGATAATACAGTAAATCCTATGAGAGAACTGTTTACAGAGGATTTATTACTTTTATTGCTGACGTGTACCAACAATTTTCATCGACGGATAATGAGTTTCAGATCTTTAGCTCTTATGGTCACAGAATGTGTCAGGTTTACCGAAAATCAAACTTACATGTTTTACAGCAGCAGAAAATTTTGATCCTCAAAATGAGTCAACTTTTTCGTTGACAAAAGTGAAAATGATTTTGATGAAAGTTTCAACCTTGTTTTCATCGAAAAATCTCCATCATAGAAATTTTTCGATAGCAATAATGGACTCAATATTGTCAGTTTACACGCTCCAGCAAACACACAACTCGAAAGGAAAATTTTCGAGCTTATTCCTTTCTATTCAAATTGAGTTTTAATCAATTTAAATTTAACCAGGAATCGAACAAGATTGTCCTGACAATGGCTTATTGAGAAGATTCGAGTCTCTCATTGCATTGATTCAGTGCACACAAAAATGACAATTACACCCTAGAAAGTATTAATTTGATTAATCTATACTATTAATTAAATCCTCAAGTTAGATTTGTTAAGATGGATTGATGAAAATAAGATCTGAATGATGTAATGAAAAGTTAGTATAAAAGTTTTCTCGATTCAATTGCCTCATTCCAATATTTTGTTTGACAAGTGAATGTAAATAATTTGAAATAAGTGAATCAAGACTTAGAGTCCAAGACTGAAAATGAATGTAAAATCATTTCTCGCCTTTTTAAATTTAATGAAATGGGACTTTGAGATCATTTTTTGCACCATTGGTTATTTGTTACAAAACATGGTTGTAACTCAACTGATGGAGGATAAAATGTGCCTAAATCACCTTAAATTGAACGAAAGTTTCTGTTCAGATTTTACTTCTCACCCTGATTCGAGTGAAACACAAGAGATACTTCGAGTCGCCAATTCATTCAAAAACTGGCAATTCATCATCGTCAATACGCCATGTTTACTGCTGTCCATTTTTCTTGGTTATTGGCTAGGAAATTATCCCAAGTATTTCAAATTCATGATTATTTCAGTCTTTTTTGGTGCCATTTGTAAAGTTTTATTATCAGGGCTTTTCATTTTCTATGCAGTCATATTTTTAATCAAAAGCATAGATTTTATGCCGATGCATAATCTTTTTGTCTTTCTTTTGTCTTTCTTTTTTCAATTTTATCAACCTCAATTTTGGCCGATAAAAAGTATGCAAACCATTTTTTAACCCATTTTGTTGATAATTTTTCCCATTGAAAATCAATGGACTTTTCTTCGGTTTATCTTCATAGATAAAAAGTATGCAAACAGCATAGAAAATGAAAAGCCCTGTTTATTATTACTAGTCAATCTTTTCATCTTCAAAGCTCGTGAGTATTGATTCATTTTAATAGGCCATTATGATAATAATGATAAAGATAGTGAATTTAATTGAATTACATCTTTCATTGACTAGCTTGGTGGGCTTTATTACTTCCGTATATTCCTTACTCGGTGTGTGGAGGCATATTTTTGTTATGCAGTGCTATTTATACGTCCATCTCATGGGGAACACCGAGTCATCTTGTGCTTATAAGATTTGCTGTCATTGAATTAATAGTCAAAGTTGGTAAGAAGGTTGTCTGCGAATTTACATGATTAGTTTTTGATTGAATATGATTTACAGGAATGCTTGGTGCAAGTTACTCAAGTGGTGCTATATTTGCCATGAAGCCATGGTTTGGTGATCATCGTAAGAATTATGTTGGAGTTTTATTGACTAGTCTTTTGATGTACGTGTTTG